TGACAAAACAAACAAACAATGAACAAAATGAATAAACAAACAAACAAAACAAAACAAAAATCTACTAGCCAGCACATTCATGCCTCTTCTCTCCTTCAGAGGAACTAGCTCCCCATTCTCTTTGGGGGTTACATTTCTTTCCCTTCCATTGTTGGGTAAAGCCCCACAAAGAGACAGCTCACCTTCCAGGCACAGGCCCTGTCCCAGTCTTATGAGATGTACTCATGGGCAAGAGCCATAAGGATCATCTGCACTGTTTATCAGTATCCATATCCGGACAGCCATCATTGGATGTGGAGTCCAATTAGTCTACCACGACCTCATCACATCTTGGTTATGTTCTTAAGGACTGGGTTACCCAGTTTAGGCTACATTCGCAGGTACCACAAGTTAAGGCCTCAGTTTATCTTTCTGGAGTACAGAATTCCACTCACAACAGGGGAAACTAAAGAGAAATGAACTTCAAAGATGCAGAGGTGAAGGAGTCATGAGGACTCCTGGCCAGGACCCTTCTTTCTAAGTGCCATGCTGGGAACAGACAGATAGCTTTCAAACTCCTGACAAGAAGGCCAAATTCAGGATTCACCAAAGGCTTTTTACTTTGGGAGCCCATGGGATAGATTTAGCAGTTCCTTTGAATTATTAATATGCATTACAAGGCCTGCTTATTCAGTGATTTGCATTTGTTTTTCCCATGATGTTACTATTAGTCACAATAGCTGAAGAATAATGGCTGTCATCATGACAGTGTGACATAAAGTGCAAGACCAACTATAGCCCAGAGCCCCAGGTCACCACTGGTGCTCTTAGAAATGGAGGATGACATAGAAGTCACTCTCTGGGACATGAGAGTCTTCTATGATTCTGACCTTCTTGTGCACTGAACTGTATTACAGGAAGTGATAAAATCAACCAGGCCAGATAAAGCTAGAAACAAACAGGCTCTGTATAGACCAGGTTGGGCTGTGGAGGATCCTCTCAGCCCCTTATTGGGCTTTGGAGCTTTACTCTGGTACAGTTTGGTTCAACAACCTTCTCTGTGGTAAGAAATGGAAATTTAAAAAAACCTGTGTGTATATGCATGCACATTCATGTGTTTGAGCACAAGCATAAATAGTCCACACAGCGTGCATGTGGAGGCTGTAGGGCAATATAGAATGCTGGTTCTCGAATTCCACCTTGTCTGAGATAGTGTCTCTCATTCATCACTGAGCTCACCAGGCTAGCTGGCCTGGAAGCATCTGTGGATTCTCCTGTCTATGCCTCTCATCTTCCCACAGGGATGCAAGATGATGGACAAGTGCTACTGTGTTCAGCCTTCTGTGTGTTCTTAGGATTCAAACCCAGGTCCTCAGGGTTATATAGGAAGTATCTCTTCAGCCAAAGAATGTGTTACACACAGCATCAAGAATGAAAAAGAAACACAGCAAACATAACTAAACATGGTTTCCCCTCAAGAGTCTAGTGGGATAAGTGGACCTGTTAACAGTCAATGTCAGTGTAATTATGAAGCATACAAAATGTTCTGCACAAAGGGCCAAAGGGCAGAACAGAAGTTATCTCGGTCTGTGTAGACCTTCATGGAAGGCTTCCTGGAAGAGGTGGCCCAGATCTAAACCTGAAGGAGCCCATCTACTAGGTAGAGAATAAGCCGAGAGCATCTCATTCAGGGAAGCACCAGGACAGGCCTGAAGAAAAGGCAGAGTGTGGGGTGTGAGGTTAAGACCTACAGAGGAAAACCGTCACTGAAATGCTGGCCTGCGATCTCATCTCCAGGAAAGTCAGAGCTCCCTGCCACAGGCCTCACATCCATAGGCTCAACCTACGCTGTAAACTGTGTAGATAATATTTGCACTGTTCTGTATATGCAGATTTTTTCCATTCTTTCATAAACTATGTGGTGTAGCACTGTTAACATGGCATCCACATCTTAACAAGTAACTTGAGGGTGATCTTACAGGTCACAAAGTATCATCATCTGCACAGCTAATACCTGAGTTACACACACACACACACACACACACACACACAAAGCTACCTACAACAATAACAAAGCAATTCATAATGCTTTAAGTAAATTTATCATTTTGTGTTGGGCTGTATTCATAGCTATCCTGGGGTACATGTGGTTGAATGTGCACCGTGAACATTGTGTATAGATTCTGTGGATAAGAATGCATGTTTTACAGAAGGGACTGGGGCATCCTGGGAGTTGGTATCTTCAGGACTGATGGACTCAATTCCCTCTGGACATGGAAGTACTTATGCATGATAAGAACCATCCTTGTGCCTTCTACTCACCCTCTGATGTACCTTTTTTTTTTTTTTTTTTTTTCAAGACAGGGTTTCTCTGTGTAACAGTCCTGGCTGTCCTGGAACTCACTTTGTAGACCAGGCTGGCCTAGAACTTACTAAGATCTGTCTGTCTCTGCCCCACCCCTACCCCAGTTCTGGAATTAAAGGTGTGTGCCACCACTGCCCAGCTCTGATGTACCTTTATTCCACCCATCAAACTCTTTGTAATATCAACCTCCTGCTTTTCTTCCATCTGAATTCCTCTCCCTGTGGTTCCAATTTTCCCACTCCTTATTCTCAGATAGAGCTCAGGCAGTGGGCTATGACACAGGTAGCATCCTGGGGAAACAGAGATGGGGAGCTTGTTAGAGTTGAAGGGTATGCTTTCTTTCAAGGTCCCTATTGGCAGTATCATTTGCAAGGTTTAATCCCATTATTTTGCCTCCCTGGGGTGGTGTCTCTTGTGTGACATCAGGTAGTAAAGAACCCAGAATACAAGAAGAGCAAGCTGCACTCATCAGCCAGGGTCATGAGCCTTCAGGGTGGCTCGGGGAGCTTCTGTGGCTTCTCCTTCCCTGGTGACCTTCTGGGCGCCATTTGTGTTTGCACATGGCCTACCTACTTCTGCCTTTAGGCTTCCTGTTGGAAAACAAGCCATGTTCCACCCTCTTTGTCCTCCCTCCATCCTTGAGGAATCTTGTCTCTTAATGACTCAATTCTCCCCCTGCCCAGATGCAGACATATTTCCTCCTTTTGTCCCTAACCCTGTGGATATGGCCTATCTGCCCTCTTCCTTCTTCCCATATCTTCAGCCTTCACTTTCTACAGCCTTTCCTTGATACACACAAACAAGCCTACTCTCTACCAAAGCCCATCCCTCCTCAAGCTCTTTCCCATCCCCCATCCTTCCTAACAAATCTCCTCTATGGGTCATCTTTCTTTCTGGATCTCCTACTTGTCATTTTATGTACAGTGTATTTTGTAATCTAACTTCTGATCTCATTATTTACATTCTTTTGTTAAGATCTTAGATAATGTCCCCTCACCCAAAGCCTGACCTCCATGGTCAGGCTTTCTGTCATGGCCTCTTTGCCTGCTTGACACTAAAAACGAGGCCATCCTTGACTGAGGTCCTTCCAACCTCTGTGTCTTCAGATCATCTTCATTTGATTTTCCATCAGTACTAAAGTGCGGTCATCTTTCATCGTTTGTAAGCTGTTTCATCTTGTCTGGGCTTTTACTTGGGTTATGCTTTTTCCTCGGAGTTCCTTATCTTCACTCTCATTCTTTCTTACCTCAACCCCCCCCCACTCCATGTATCTTTTAAGTCTCCATGTGAGTATTGCCTTCTGAAGGCCCCACTGATTCTGTCCCCAGGCTGAGTCTGAAGCCACACATCTCTGTACCTGTGTCATGGCTTTTATCAGATGCTCTCACTACCTGTTGGAGTCCTTGCCTTATCATATTCTGGGGAAAGGGCTCATGTCTTGCCCCCACCTAGCACTATTCTTGGTACACAGTAGTTGCCACACAAATGTCTGTTAGACAAATGGATTCTGCCTAGACAAATATGCATACAAGCAGAGAGAGCTGAGCTGAGTGCTGAGGGGTAAATATGGACCTAGAGAAAGGGCATAAGGAAAGACCTTGTTGGTATCTTTGGGAAAGTTTCCTTAGAATTAAGCTCCAAGAAGATGGGGCTTCTTAAGAAAGTGAGGGAAAGCCTAGGGGAAGAGATGAAGACTGGTGTTAGGCACTGGGATGCTAGATACTCTGAAAATGACTTACATCATGAAGATGATTACCAATGGGGGCCATTCATTGGCTAGGGGTTGCCCTTGTGTAGACCATGGACATCTGTGTTATCACTGTACCACAGCCACAGTGACTGCGATAAGGGTCCTGGCCAGGACCAGGAAAACACTTTTACACTTGATCCATAGGAAATGGTGGAATAGGATGGTGTGCTTGGTTCATTTGGGAAACTGAACTGTGAGGCATGTAGAAGGTCATAAAGAGAAGGTAAACATCACCAGTTGTACCAAAGGGGAGGTTGTAATGTACACCTCAGTGGTCATGTGCACATGTTTGACCTAGAGAGGAATATAAGAGAAATATAAATATAACAGGCAGGGGAGCGATTCCACTAACCATGGTATTAGACTCAGAAAATCTTGCTTTATTGGAGAGGCAACATGGGAGCAGGTCTGAGGACAGGAGAGATGCTGATGTGTGATGAGTGGTGGTCAGGCAGAGGAACCAAGAGTCATCCTCCAAAAACACAAAAAAAGTCCCAATGGAATTAACAACTTGGATATTGCCTAAAATAAATCCACAGTAGAGCTAGGAATAGAAACACAGGAGTTCTAGGTTTTGGTATTTTATTCTCAACGTTAATTGAATTTTTATTACCCTCTCATTACCTTAGAGAAAACAATTTGAACTCCTAGGGGAGAATAATGCTGTATAAACAAACAGAAGGCACTGAAATAAATAGGTATATTAGTGTACAAAGGATAGTCATTTAAGTCTGTTCAAATCCTAATAATAAGAGTTGACTGGCATAAACAGCACTACATATGAAGCCCGTATTCTACCTGGGCAAGCCCCCTGTGGAATTTGTCCTTCAAGAGACTGATGAGTAGGAGGGCTGAGAAATCTTTGGGCCAACTGGGCTTTTCTATTCTCTTCTCTGTCTCTTACAGGTCAACAATGAGCGGTTGTACCTGCCTCTGAAGTTAGGACAAGGGAAGATAAACATCTTTTCTTTTGGCTTTCACGTGGTGGTGGAAACTGACTTTGGCCTGAAGGTTGTGTATGACTGGAAAACTTTCCTGTCCATCACTGTTCCCCGGAGCATGCAGAACAACACCTATGGCCTTTGTGGACGCTACAATGGCAACCCCGATGATGACTTGGAAATGCCCATGGGGTTGCTTGCACTGAGTATCAATGAGTTTGGGCAAAGCTGGGTGAAGAGAGACACCTTCTGCCAGGTGGGCTGTGGGGACCGCTGCCCATCCTGTGCCAAAGTTGAAGGTTTCTCCAAAGTACAACAGCTGTGCAGCCTCATCCCCAACCAGAATGCTGGCTTTGCCAAGTGTCACAGCAAAGTCAACCCCACCTTCTTCTACAAAAACTGTCTGTTTGACTCCTGTATCGATGGAGGTGCTGTACAGACGGCCTGCAGCTGGCTACAAAACTATGCCAGCACCTGCCAGACTCAAGGGATTGCAGTGACTGGCTGGAGGAACTACACATCCTGCAGTGAGTCCATCTTCTATCTTTCTCTCTTGATCCTCTTTATTTCCGATTGGTGTGGGCGGCTGGTCTTCCAACTCTAAAGAAGGGAGAGCAAGTTGAAAAGAGTGGCTTCAGGATATGCACTTTGTAACTGAGTCCATTATCTGAACCAGAAGGTGTAACCTCCTACTGTTTCCTTTCTTTCTCTGTAGAGAGGGGTCAACACCATTAATTTGATGGGTTGCCCTGGAGGATGGAATGAGATCATGTATCTAAAGCACAGAACACCACATGCTGCATTTGAATTCCAATAAAATGCTTCCCAGAGAGTAAAGGCAGAGGGGTGGTGGTGGTGTTGGATGGTTAGTTTGTTCATTTATCTAGAATCTCAGAGGTCCATCACTACATGGATAACTTACATACTTTCCTTATATATGTCATTCTGTTATACATATATATATATACATATATATATCATACATATTATATAGTAGTCACATATACATATATATATATATATGTATGTATGTATGTATGTATGTATATTCATGACTGTAGAGCATGTCAGAATATTAAGAGCATTAGAAAAGGAAGTGGAGTTCATGGATTCTAGCCTCAACTTAATCCTTAAGGATCATCATAACCAAGCCAGGCATTGGTGACGCATGCCTTTAATCCCAGCACTCAGGAGGCAGAGGCAGGCGGATCTCTGTGAGTTCAAGGCCAGCCTGGTCTACAGAGTGAGTTCCGGGAGGCTCCAAAGCAATACAGAGAAACCCTGTCTGGAAAAAACAGACAAACAACAACAACAACAAAAGGATCATTGTAACCAACTCACTTCCCCTCCCTGTTACTCAGCTTCCTCTCCAAAGAGCAGTCATGATGCTGCCTGTACCAGTTACCCACAGTAACATCAGAAAGGTCAAATCAAATCATTGGAATCTGAGCACACATGAATGCTAGGTGGTGATATATTAATGGCTTGCTGTGATTCAATCCCACTGCTAAAATACTCTATCAATGTTATCTCATTGATTCTTTTCAATAACCCAATTAGGCAAGGCAAAATTGAAACTCACAGGAGTTGAGTTACTTAGCTAAGGTTAAACAGTTTCAATGGCAAGGTTGGGATTTAACCCTCTCACCCCAACACCCATGCACTACACTAGCAGATTATATAGTATAGGAGAAGAGTTAGCTAGAGTATTTGTCAGCATTCAGCATATGTATGTAGGAAAAGGTTGATAATGGAATCACCGTGGGTCTTTAGTTAACCTGCCGTGCCCTATTTTCCCATCCTAGTCTCATTAACTGTAGCACATTTCTTTGTATAAAAGATCTGATTGTATAAAGAGGCTGCAAATTAATGTTGGATGCTCAGAGCTCTAAATAAGGGGTGCAGCGGGCTTCATAGAGAACAAAACTCTCATTTTCATCCTGGAAATGGGAGATTTGGATGCAGAGCTATTGTGGTTTAATGATCAGTCAGTTTGCATTCCATACACAGCCATTGGATTGATGGAAACTATTTGGGGTGGGGAGAGGAGGGAGGGGAGGGGAAAGATTCCAAGACTGTATCATCCAAGTTCAGTTCTCAAGCAAGGAAGGTGGGGGACACAATGCTTGTGGATGGCTGTCCAGACAAATCAGCCTCTAGGGTTTTCAATCAAACAAATGTACCTACAAAAGGTCTGGGACTAGAGCAGTCTCTAGGGCTATGGGGATTCACTGGAGTCGGTACAGTGGGACTGGAGTGCTTGCTTTCCTCTAAATCAGAAAACCAGGCTCTTGGCAGAGAACCCTAAGCATGGCATGGCATCACAGAGCGATTTTGGAAGGGGAGCTGCAGCCTGCTTTTTCTTGAGGTCTGTCACAGGGAGCTAGTTCTTTCTCTGGTTATTGGCTTATTGGCTCTGAAGCTCTGGGATGACTGAAATGGATTGGGCAGGGGGATGGGGGACAGTATGCAAAATGCTATCATGTCTAGCTGTGAGGAATAAGGAAATGCATTAAAGGAGCTAACATAAAAAAGAACCCACCTTCAACTAATGGGCCTCAGCTTTTGTTACTTGTGGGAAGGAAAAAGAAGTGAGTTAAATGATATGTGTGGCCAAAGGAAGTCCTGAGAACTATGGGTGG